GATTATGTTTTACAGACCTACCGCTCTATACTACAAATCACTGGCTCAAATAATGCTAAGCACAGACAGAGCAGAAAAATCAGGTCTATCACAATCTCTACTAAGCTCAACAAATCAGGTTCTAATTTGAAGATTTCTAAGGAAAACGGGATCTCCATTTTAGTCCAAATGGGCCCATGCAATTCCAATCACAATGATTTTTTGACATTATTTTCTAATTTTGTTAAATTGTCATTTGAGCATGAGGAAATAATGCATCGGGAACATGACACTACGGGTGAATATGAGGAAATCAGCATTTTCAAACTCATTTTTAACAATGAAGTTCGGAGAGCCTTCGGCGAGAAGCAATAACTAATCTCATCTGACATACAACCACAAAATCCACTCCTTCAGGTTTACTCTGATGCTTGAGAGAGTTTTGATGAGTCTGATGACTCTTTCTTCGCAGATGATTTTCTGGGACATGAAAGTGAAAGTGATCGTCGACCCCCATTATCAAACCAGGAAGAGATAAGGAAATCCAAATTTAATAGAATGATATGCCGCAAAGCAAAATTGGTGACTTCCAAAAACTGTCTGCCAACAGAATACCTAAACACACAAATCAAAATCTACAGGAAATCTTAGAAGAATAAGAGGTGTCATAGCATGAGGACCAGATCACAGTCCAGAGATTTGCCTTGGGTCTAGTCTTTTATTTGTGTTTACTTTACCTTTCCTTTCTGTTCCTTTTTAATTTTATCTCTCTTTTTTCATTGTAATTTTGTTTTACTTTCTGAATAAAATCGCGTTTTCTTTCAAAAAAAAGATATATTCCCTCATATTATAACCTCCTTTGATGGACAACCCTTTTTATTGTGTCCCTTTCTAAAACACAACTGACAAGTCATACTTATAACTCTTTTAGTTAACTTCCCACTCCTAGGAAACTCACCCATCTCCTTAATTCTGTTTCTCCTAGGTCTGCCCATCTCTTTTGTTTTCAACACTGATGGCAGTACTATTATCCCAGTCTTGGGCCAAAAAGAGGACCAGCTAAAGGGGTCATCATGTGAGCGTAAGTGTTAAAGTACATCGCTTTTGTATACCATCTGAAGACATAATTCTCTATGATGTCACCTTTGTCCCTAATTGCACATATGGCGTGTTTGCAAGGAATATCGGATGAGATTCCTAATTCTGGGATCTAATACTCCAATCAATTTATCTCCCAAATCTTTGTTTTTAATAGACCTATCAAAGAAAGCTATACACCAAAACTTTGGGTCTATTTTCAGCATATCTTCATGGGCACTATAAGAAAGAGATTCAGTAATTCCATTTCCATCTCAAACTCTTTTTTTGAGGCTGATTTGCAACATTTCTAGAATTTCCTTTGTAATTCTATACCTGGATGAGATCTTCTCCATATCGCATAGATATGTCTGGCACATCTTCTGTGCTCAGCTTCTGGCATGGTCTCATATAATGCTGACATTAAACCCTATATCCACAATAAATAACATGTAGTTAGAATGAAGTTTATACAAAGTACAAACAAGGTATTAGTAATGTAAAAATATTGAAGATGAAGGATGTAATACCTTTTGTTGATCAGATACAAAGGCATATCCTTTACCTCTTCCAATTCCCAGGTCTTCTCTTATAATCTCAAGAAACCATTTACAAATATTGAAGATTTTGTCTCGGATGTCACAACTACCCATGTTATAGGGAACATCTGATTGTTGCCATCTCTGCCCATAGCAGTCAAAATCTCACACTTCACATCAGACTTCAAAAAGGCACCATCAATCCCAATCAATTTTCTACAACCTTCTACAAACCTTCTAATAATGGACTTCGTTTTTTTCATCTGCTCGAGGGAGACGTCAAATTGGAGTTCATTTTTAACCATCTCTTGCATTGAGGGCAATTTCATATCAGAAATACCCGCTTTAGTTTTGAAGAAATTGTTAACTAACCATCTGGCAATGGCATTGGGAACTTGCCAACCAGGATTGCAGGTATGGTCTTCGTTTAGAGTTTTTAAAACCCATGTGTTACCACTGCTTCTCTTATCTATGGCAAAATATGCCATCCATGTACATGTTTTCTCTAAGTTCGCACACTTAGCCCTTAACATATCAGAACAATTCTTAACTCAGTAAAATGGATATCTATTACTCACTGAATACTTGTCCACTGCCTCTTTAACTTGGCTTTTACATTCAAAGCTCATGCCAAGTGTAAATTCGACCTTGTCAGCTGGACTAAAAGGTGAGAACCTTGTTTTCCTTCTGAAATAATCGTCTTCCTCTTTATCAGAACAACTCTTGTAGCTTCCTTCATCACTTGAAGTAAAGTAATTTGTTTCATATCTGTCTCCATCCGAAGACAATCCCTTATCACTCTCAATGATGTGTTCCTTAGCTTTTTTGCCACCCTTGTTTTTTCTAAGGCCTTTATCATTTGTGACTAATTTGTTTCATATCTGTCTCCTACCTTGCTTCAACTCCTCCTCATCTTCATTCTCAGTGTTAACCTCATCCTAAAATAGTAGTTCAGCTTCTGCCTCAAGAATTGTATCCTCAAATCCTAAATCCACAACAAATGACCTCTTTATGTACTCTACATACTGCCCATTTGATTCTCTTGAACCCCCACTCCATTGTTGCTCAACATTCTCCACTAATTAAAAATATTGGAGCTTGGTGAAAGTGATTAATAAAAAAAATCAATGTCATCAACAAATAAATGAATGTCATATAACTATAAATACAAAGAGATGAAACATATATATACATATGTATAGTGAAAACCATATGTTTTTAACACCCATAAGAAAGGAAACTATGAAATTTCAGATTTCTTTATAATTCATCCAGTTTTACAAAAAACGTACACTGTTAGACTTTGAACCGTTGGATTATTGTGATATTTCAGCTGAGGTTTGTATTCATATATTTCTTCATTATGAACGGTGGAGATATGGTTTGGAAGTGAGGAGGGTTGTTATTATCCTGGACAAATTAGTGGAAAAAAAAACATTTCAGTTTTAGTGAAGTTCTTTAACCCTTACAAAAACGTGCACTGTTAGACTGAACCATTGGATTGTTGTTATTTTTTAGTTGAGGTTTGTACTCATATATTTCTTCATTATGAACGGTGGAGATCTGGTTTGTAGGTGAGGAGAATCATTAGCCTGGGCAAATTACTGGAAAAACATTCTCTGTTTTAATAAAATTCTTTAACCTTTTGGCCAGTTTCTGTTTGACTGTTACGATACATTTCACATTACTGACAGTAGCCTTTCATCACATATAGGCACATACTATGTCAAAGATTGTTTTAAACCATGTATTCATCAATATATTATTAGCTTAAGCATTAAATTTTGAATACTTCTTCTGTAGCATTGTAAAGCAAATGTTTTATTAATTCGACCAGAAAACTAGAATTAAGGTTTGTAGTGTAACATTGCTGATATTGATATTTCAATAATCTGAACTATATTATTAGTAATATAAAAAACAAGAACACCCTATGAAACCATCTAAAATTCACAGAGGCCATAAACATAAAGTGTAGAGATAGCTCAAACTCTAAACGTACCTTTCTTGCAATTGATGATTCTCCATTATGGAATCCCTTCACTGAGTTGCTCGCGTATCTCCTCCTCTTGTCACCGCCCAGCCTTTGTAATCTGCAGTTTGCGATACTATACCTCGTATGAGGCGGGTAAAATGTTAGGGTTTTAATTTGACAACTAGGTGACATGTTACTATTTAAAAAAAACTTCCTCAGCAATTTTAGCCATGTCATCATTTTCAGAAACAAGTCGAAAGCGTATACCATACAGCCGGCTGTACGGCTGGGCACCGTACAGCCGGTGGCAATTTTGTAATTCTGATGAAGTTCACGATTTCTCTTAAATGAGTATTGATGTAATTTAAATGAGCATCGACTCTGTTCTTCTGAGTAATAGCAACCTAACAATGAGCACTAGTGATCTCGGCTTCATATCTTCTAATTTGGTTTATTTTTACAATTGTTCGTTTATAAAATCTTCTTAAATTATGTTTATAATAAATTTCAATATGAATGTAATGTAATATGATATGTTTGATATGTGCATCATTTTAAAATGAGCATAAACCAATACGAAATGAGCATACATGATTCACAAAATGAGTATAAGAAAATTCAAAAACTCATTTGTGTAAGCTCATTAATTTTTGGCGTTGTATTTGATATGTGAAACCTTTTAAAATGAGTATAAAATAGTACCACATGAGCATAAATTACTTACAATATGAGTATAAAAAAATTAAAAACACATTTGTGTGTTCATTCATTTTGGGCATTATACTCATTTAAGTTTAACATAAAACTCATTTCTAATTTGTTCAATATTCATTTATGTATGTTCATTTTTTTTAAGTGTATACTCATTTGAGTTTAATATATAGCTCATTTGAGATCACTAATATTAAATGAGTACACATTAGTTACAAAATGAGCATTCAAAAAATAAAAAAACTCATTTAAAATGTGCAGTATGCTCAAAATTTCTTTTGTATATGTTCATATATGTACAACTACGTATAGCTAATGTTTCTCTTGACTTAAATCCAAACAAATTACCAAAATCATTGAACCTAAACCTAGTAAAAAAACCTAAATCAAAAGAGTTCAACAAAAGAAAAGAAAGATCACAGGCGAGCAGCCCTATTCATCCATCAGATTTGTGATCTGCGACAGAGTGACGAGCACCAATGAATAGGGAAGGGAGCGATCGAGCAAGCGGCCGGCGAGGGTAGCGAAGCAGATCGACGGAGAGGGTAGGCAGATCGAAGAAGGAGAAGGTAGCGCGCAAAGGAAAGAAAACGCCGGTTGTACCGTGCGCACGGTACAGCCGGCTGTACGGTGTATTTTACGAAACAAGTCTGACCATGTCATCATTTTTAAACTCAAGTTTATGTACTTCAGGTTATTAAAAAGTACTCCGTATAAACACAACCAAGGAGAGAGGCAAGACTGCAATTACTCATTCGGGAAAGATAACGTGGCTGACTTTGGGTTGCCTACACCTTCGGCCTTCCATCTTCGAGTCCTCCCTAGTATTAACTCATTTGACATAAAAAACCGGTCGTATTCCCTTTCCCGCTGATCGTCACGAGAAAACGCAGAAAAGATGCAGCAGGGTGCGGACATTAACCAAAGAATTGCCCGAATTTCAGCCCATCTTTGCCCTTCTAATTCCCAGGTCGCTCTTGATTCTTTCCTTATTCGATGTCATAATCTTTTGTCCCAGTGCTTGCTTAACTTGGAATTTGCATATTTCTGTGATTATTGCTCGATTGATTCCGTGATAAGTTTTAAGTTTCGATATGATTTACAGTTTAGCTCATCTGTTTGGTTGTGTTTATACTTTGTATGCTTAAAGATGCAGCGAAGTTCTGGTCTTGGGATGGCGAATTGCAGGGCCAAAGGGGCGTCGCCTGGATTCAAAGTTGCAATTCTGGGTGCTGCTGGAGGTATTGGTCAGCCTCTTGCTATGCTCATGAAGATGAATCCACTGGTTTCACTTCTGCATCTCTACGATGTGGTGAACACACCTGGGGTTACATCGGATATCAGCCACATGGATACCGGAGCTGTGGTAATTTTCATAGTTCACATGCTTACAAATTTTAGTTTTAGTCCTCCTAAAGTTCTTAAGTATGGTTTTTTCTTTCAATAGATGTGAACTGTATGATTTTGTGATCCTGGTGGTAATGAGATAATAACCAGCGGAATGTCCTTAAATTGCTAATCCAATTGGGCTCATTGCATCTTCTGCTGGGTTCTCGTAAAATTACCAAATGACTCTTGATATTTCTTAAAATTATTACAAATAAGCCCTGTCGAGTAGTCCCATCTGCCTCAAACAACACTTTTATCATTGAAAAATTTAAAGACTGCAAGATGTAGAATATAGATCATGTTTACATAATTGTGCTTCTTCATATTGAATTTAATGTTTTGATTTATTTCATCTGCTACTATGTTTAACACCCTGTCTGAAAAGAATCATCCCTGACTCCCAATCCATTATTGAGGAGGACTTACTTCGAAAAACTCAATTCCTATTAATGTCATTTTATCCAATCATCTATGGGTATTGTTTGCAAAAAATCTTTCTTTTTAACACGTTAATAACTTTATATGTATTTATTATTAGAAGCCACTACTATCATTTTTTAACTTGATCAATTGGATTAGCTGGTCAAGTAATTTTTAAAGTGATATAGTCTTTAAAATCTAATTCTTCTTATGTAGATTGGAATATTGATGTTAGCATGAATATGTTGAATATCCAATCAGAGTTTGGATCTAGAATTTCAGTTGACAGTTGATTACGTAAGCATGATAAAAATAAATATGCCTGACCCAAACTCTTGCAAGTTATGCTGCTAAACATGATTGATGAGCCCAATTTATTATGAACGGGGAGCTCATGTTGTGGTCTATGCACCTGAACCTGAATAATCTTTGTTTTGAATGATATTGTATAATTTTTCAAGTTACTGGCTTTCTAGGTGCGTGGATTTTTGGGGCAACAACAGTTGGAGGATGCTCTAACGGGGATGGATCTTGTAATCATTCCTGCTGGTGTTCCTAGAAAACCAGGAATGACAAGAGATGATCTTTTCAACATTAATGCTGGAATTGTTAAGACATTGTGTGAAGGAATAGCTAAGAGCTGTCCCAAAGCTATCGTCAATGTAATCAGTAACCCTGTAAACTCAACAGTCCCTATTGCAGCTGAGGTCTTTAAAAAGGCTGGCACTTATGATCCCAAAAGGCTTTTGGGAGTGACAAAGCTTGATGTAGTGAGAGCTAATACCTTTGTGGTATATAACTAACTCATTCTTCCCGTAGTTGTATTTCCTTTTTGGTCATTTGAAATGGTATTGCTACCAGCTCCATAAAAATACTCCTGCTGTCCCTTAACAAACTTTACTTGTGCTTTTGCATGTGTACATTAAGACAGTGAAGATTGTATGACTGAGATCTATTTAGAAATCAAACAAAAAATCAACCAAGTTCACATTCCTTTCTTTTCCTTGATAAGAAAGGAAAAAAGTGAAGTTATTTATTATGGGATGGAAAGGATTAAGGCTATCTTTGGTAGAGGGAGAAGAAATAAAGAAAAAGGAAGTAGGTAGGTCAGAATACAAAAAAAAAAACGAAATGGGTGAAAAATAGAGAGAAATAAAAGCTGTAGAAATTTAATGGAAATAGAGAGGAGGTAATATTTGAACGGAAGTGGTTGGTTGGTTTAGAAGCACATTATTACCCTCACACAATCTGTACATTACCAGAAGTAACCAGGGTGAAAAGGTAATTTAAAAGTGTTTCTCTTTATTTCATTTTAGTGAGGAAATGAAAAGAAAAGTATTATATCCATACATTTACATTACAGTAATACATTTCTTTGCTAATTTGCTCCTACAAAACCATGGAAACGGATTAAACTTTACGTTTTCCCTTCCACCCTATTTTTCTCTCCCAAACACAAGCTATGTGATTTTTTGTAGAAATACCAGCAAAACATGTGGATGACATATAATGCTTGGATTTCTGCGAGACTGGCAATGTTTTTTACTGATCACATTCAATGTAAATTTGTATTATATCTTTGTGTTTTAAGGCTGAGGTTTTGGGGCTTGATCCAAGGGAAGTGGAGGTTCCAGTTGTAGGGGGTCATGCAGGAGTTACAATCTTACCTCTTTTGTCTCAGGTTTGAGAACTTATTTGCAAAATTGGGCACCTTATACTTTAATGTAATGCTCTGTATGTCTAAACTATTGAACTTTTTTTCACTGGTCAGGTTAAACCTCCATGCTCCTTGACCCCTGAGGAAATTGAGTTTCTGACTTCACGTATTCAGAATGGAGGCACTGAAGTTGTTGAGGTATTCTGAACTCCAACACTTGTGTTTCCCTGTTTTATTTTTAGTATTCAATAGATGATCTTGTAATGGACATGACTAGACATTTAGATAAGCTATCTCAACTGAATGCTAATTTGGAAAATGCTTCCATAGGGCATGCTTGTCACTCTATGCTTTATGTTTCCTTCCTCTTTTTTATAGCTAAGCACCAGAATAACAAAATCACTAGAAGTGGTTTCACTTTTTTGTTGGTAGTTGTTGAATCATAAACTAGTACTTTTATTGATATTACTTTTAACTCATAAGTTCATAATCTCTATAGAAATACAATGTTTAGATAAAAAATAATGGACCTAAACCCATTAGGAATAGAACCCCTAAACGTAATGAGAATTATAATTCCATAGTACTTCTAACACTGTGATTACTATATTTCTATAGTTATACTTTCTATACATCAATGCTAGTTTCCAAAATTAGCATAATTACTATAATTTGACTACTTATTTCAGTACAACATGTGAAGCATATAATATAATACAATACACTCCATTTTATATGTGTCCCCAGTTTTATTTATCTGCTATTCCAAATTTATGATATCATTTCCTAGTCTGGAAATGGTCCACTCAATGTAATATTTCTTTCACCACTTTAGCCATTCTTTTTCCATTTTTCTCTTTTCCTTACCCACCCAAGCTTTGTGCCAGAATTATGGGAATACTATTATTGATGGAGGGAGTATCTTTAGAATCGTAAAATCAAACATCACAGCAGTACATAACCAGCCTTTAGTTGATGACTTGATGTTATGCCTTTGTTGAAGTACTTTCTTTGGTTCTCGTACAGACCGAAGTTGGAATGTACTTGTTATGTAGTCGATAATTTTTGGACGAACATGATTTTCTCTTTCTTTTATACCCAGGCAAAAGCTGGTGCAGGATCTGCAACACTGTCCATGGTTAGCAATTTGTTTGCTCTCTGTTTCACTTCTTTTTCTAAAGAGTGCTGAGTTGCACTGGATAGCACTTTGATCTAATATACCAATGGCAGGCATATGCTGCTGTTAAATTTGCAGATGCATGCTTACGAGGGTTGAGAGGAGATGCTGGAGTTGTTGAATGTGCCTTTGTGTCGTCTCAGGTATATATATGACCTTAACCATCTTTGCTTAAAACATTAATAGAATTTTCATGATCATCATATTTTAGTCTATCAAAAAATCTTGTGTGTGACGGTCTTTGGGATGTTCAGTACGCAACATCTTTCACTGTTCACTTAAGGTTATCTATTTTGAACGGGATAAGGGTCAGATAGGGCCTCGAACTTGAAAAAAAATGTCAAATAAGGCCATATTTAGGATGCTCTGTCCGGCCGACGCCATTTATGGTGGTTCCCGGTGGAATTTTTTGATGATTTTTTTTTAGAATCTTATTCATTAAGTCTAGTTTACTCATATCAAATTTGAACTAACAATTCAATCGGGAAGGCATTCAAATCAATTCATGAAGATAACTGCGCTTTTAACGGTACAGTTATCTTCAAGAATTCGTTTGAATGCCTTCCTGATTAAAGTTTTAGTTCAAATTTTATATGAGTAAACTAGACTTAATGAATAAGATTCTCAAAAAATTTCATCAAAAAATTCTACCGGGAACCACCCCAAATGGCGTCGGCCGGACAGAACATCCTAAATATGGCCTTATTTGACATTTTTTTTCAAGTTCGAGACCCTATCTGACCCTTATCTCATTTTGAAAAACTGACTCCCTCTACGGCTCTACCCCCCATAAAGTCTGTTTAGTGAGGAACAGTTTTTTGTTTTTAATAAAGTCAATCTAGATCGTAGATACAAGCCCTTACAAATTATGAACCTTTAGATGGAATGTCCAAAATTTTCAAGTGAGAACATTTATGTGGGACAAAGGGACTACTTTTTAAAAGCAATCAGCTGAAAACTTTTTTAAGCTATTGCAGACACACTAACTTTCACACAGAAGTGCTTTTGTTTCAACATCATGGTGCCAGGACTGGTTTAGTCATCTCTTTTTTTTCACTATTTACAGCACTGCTTATCCATAAGGTGATCTACTCGTTTTAGGTGACAGATCTTCCTTTCTTTGCATCAAAAGTTCGCCTCAGCCGCAATGGAGTTGAAGAGATTTACTCACTCGGTCCCTTGAATGAATGTGAAAGGTCCAATGCTAACTATTGTAATATGCCTTTTTCTTTGTTCAATTCTGATTAGATCATAAGATGTTCATGTAGCTTCTCATCTTAATAGGGCTGGGCTGGAAAAGGCAAAAAAAGAGCTAGCTGCAAGTATTCAAAAGGGCATACTTTTTCTACAAAAGTGAATCGGGACAACAAAGCCTGATCTTTACGACCATCAGAAAAAGCCATTGTATATCCTTGTAATAATACCAGAACAATGTATGCGAGCTACCACACAAGAGTGGAGTTTAGAACTTAGTGGTGGTAGCCGGCGAGGCTTATCTTCGAGTGGCCCATAGGGCTTCTAGCCGAAGCGACATCTTGGAACCCCGATAATCTATGAAAGAAAATGTGGAAAAGTAAAAGCATGGTTAAAGAAAATGTGGAAAGTAATAAAGTTCAAGGAAACATGTTAACATAGTCCAATAAATTAATCAATTCCAAACATTTTCTGGGTATTTGTTCCTGTTATAAACTAAAGAATATAAATGCATGTGGAACCTGAAAGGGAGAATCAAATCCGACTTTCTAGGGCGGGTGACTGACTGAGAACATAAAAGCTGTGTAAGTGTGCAACTAGTAAGGAAAAATGAAAACAAAAAAAAATGTGCCTCTTTAAAAAAACGTTGCCTCTCCTTGAAAAATAACGACACAGTTCAATGCTCCGTAACATTTTAGCATATGATTTCTATAAAAATAATCCGCTACATTTGTTGCAGTTTCGTGCATGTGTCGGTTTGACTTAGGTATACTCATCTGTTTAAATTGATTTTTTTTAATTTTCTTATAAAATTCAGGAGTGCGAAAAATAGACATAACCTAATATAGGTATTCATGGACCGGGTCTGGTCCGGGCCCGGGTCGGGCCTAGGCCCGGCCGGGCCAAAAAAATTTTAGTGAAGCCCGGGACTGGCTCGGATGTTCACCGGTGCCAGTCCGGTTCTATTTTTTTTGTTTTCTTGATTATTTCATCCCCTACCCCCATCCCCCAAACCCATCGGAAACACCCAGCCCGGCCCATTTAAACCCAGCCCAAACCAAAAAAAAAAAAAAAAAAAAAAAGGTCAGAACCGGGCTTGGCTGGGCCGGTTCACATTTAAGCAATCCCAGAACTGGCCCCGGTTTCATCCATCAACCGGGCCTAGACCTGGAATCGGTACTCGGTTCCCGGGCCGGGCCCAAATAGTGCTGGGCCGGTTCCCGGGTCAGGTGGCCCACACCGAGTCCACCACTAAATATAGGACTTGATCATAATATTGAATTAATAAATGTTGTTCACGATTTCTATTATGATGCCTTGATGTATTAAATAATCAATAATGATATTTTAATTGAACTGGTTTAGATTTTAATATACACATTTAAACATACTACTAGACTTAGAGCATCTCCCACAGTCCCACGGCTAGCTAATTGCCCTTATGGTATGACTAGCCATATAAACATTTGCACCAAAATGAAAATGTACTTCAATTGCTAGCTATAAGCCTATATATTCTTCCTCTTCATTTATTATTTATAATGTATTTAATAATTCTCCTTACTCAAGTTAGTAGCTCATTTTGACTAATTAACTTTCTAAAGTAAAAGGAAAGAAAATGCTCCAAATTGCAAGCATGTCTTCCACATTAACTGTTGGAGATGCTCTTAAACATCTAAAATTAAGAGCTTGTTTGGTAATTTTTTTTTCAATTTATCATTTTTATCAGCAAACGTTTTTATCAAACTAGGCTTGGGATCGGTTCGGTTCTTGTTAAAATCCGACGGAACTGTATTAAAAGTTGTAGGCGTCAAATTTGGTTCGATTCTAGTTAAAAATGTAGTTGTTTGATTCGGTTCGGTTATATTTAAATTCGGTTCGGTTCTTACCTTTTTTCGGTTCCTCAAAAGAAAATTATCCTCCTAAAATGAACACATTTTACCTTAAGTTACATAAAAAAAATCATGAAATTATGACTATTACATTATACATATACCATATCCCAATGTTCTAATATCAAAAAATATCCAAGTGTATACATCAAATTTAAACATAATGTTGGATAATTGATACCCATATTGTATAAATAGGAGAAATTGAATAAGAGTGGAGAAGAAATGATGAAGAAGAAGGAAATGTGTATAGAATGAGTATTGGTTATATGAGTTACAAGCCTCCTATAAGGAGTATATATAGGGAAAATCCGGGTCTGGGCCTCTAATATGGGCCTGACAGACCCGGTTACATAATTGGACTGATAGTATAAAAAGCTAATCTAGAACATCTGAATAATAATAATAATGTACAATAATATTAATGATATCCGCTAAACGTGTGTGGGCCGCTGTCCAGGCCTAGTAGTCGGCATACCGGGGGGTCGGAGTCCATATAATCCATCAGGAGTCCTCCACTCCCTGAGTCGAGAGTACTCGAGGCGAAAGGGAGTAGTCCAAAATGTATCTGCAACGTTCTTCCTCTTCGGCCGGGGGACCACCACCCTTGTCCATTATGGGGAGGTGCCTCGTTAAAAACCTTTACTAGGAAAAACCCAGTGGGAAAAATCCTAATAAAGGGAAAAAGAGTACACCTAGCGCCCCCAACATGAAACAAGGAAGGTAAATCCCCTCCGACATAATCAATCTAGCTCAGCTCCTCTTCAACTGACTCAGCTCTCGTTCCTGCTCTTGCGTGAGGTTTTCTGCTCATCCAGAAACTCTGACCCCTCAGTCCCCCAGTCCCCACTCTTTGAGGCGAGTGGAGACGAGGTGAAAATGAGTAAAGTCATCTTCGTACCTACACATTTACCATACATATAAAAAAAAATTCTTGGGATTTATGTTCCCGATCGGGAGTTCGTCACTTGAAACAAGTGGAGATGTGAATTGTTAATGTAATGATAAAATACTTAGTAGAATGGATGTGTGAGCCATTCGTAAGCAACGGTCGCCACTCAAGGAATGACTAAGACCGGTCTTCGTACCCGACTTGGTCGAGGTTTTGTCTTCATGCCCGATTTGGTCGGGGCTTTGTGCCTGAGGAGACAGGGCTTTGTGCCTGAGGAGTCAGGGCTTTAAATCCTAGTGATGGATGGGTCTCAAGCCACACTCTACTAGGTATTTGATCATAAGTGCGTGATAGTGTGCTGATCACCCGACAAAAAAATGATTTAATTAAATATAAATAATGTTAAAATTAAAGTGTACTTATCTTTTTGAAGTGGGCTGAAATATTGGACTGTGTGGACTGATAAAGAAATTGGGCCTTTATTCCCAATTGGGCTGCTCCAGCAGATTTGAACCATCCCTCCACGCCTAAGATTTAACTTTCAAACAGATCCACTTTTTGCGTAGAGCAATACTTTTGGCAAAGGGGACAACTTTAACTTTTGGCACATGTGACAACTTTCACTTATGGCACAGGGGACAGCCACAACGTGACCAGGACCCCAAGCAGCTCCTTGGCACTGTAGCTCGTCCGAGCAACAACTACTGAGGTGACGCGGATGGACCCAACGGCATAAAGAGAATGACCGGAGCAAGCTAGTATGACGGTAGCACCGGCGAAGCGCGCGTCTTCAGGCAACAACCGATACACTCTTCAAGTCTGGTGGGCAGGGCAGTTACGATTTCCTGCTCCTGGAGCTCCTGGCGGCCATTAATGGCGGAAGCTTGCTAGGCTCTTGGTGGATGAGTCCACTGCTAGGATGACCGCCAGTGATCCGGCTTGATGAAAAGGTCGCGGCTGGGGTGGTGAAGCTCGAGGCAGGTCGGAGCTCGCACTCCACCTCCGGATTGGTGTAGCGTCGCCATCGGGCTGGTTGGGCCATGGCTGCTTCTTCCAACTCTCTCTGCATCTGAGTGCTTCCAGCATCTTTTTTTCTTCCAAAACAAATTTTTTTGGCTGATATTTTTGTATGAAATTTTTGATATTTTGGGGAGGTTTTCTCACTTGATTGTGTTCAACCTCTCAATGAGAGCACCATTGTTGGATAATTGATACCCATATTGTATAAATAGGAGAAATTGAATAAGAGTGGAGAAGAAATGATGAAGAAGAAGGAAATGTGTATAGAATGAGTATTGGTTATATGAGTTACAAGCCTCCTATAAGGAGTATATATAGGGAAAATCCGGGTCTGGGCCTCTAATATGGGCCTGACAGACCCGGATACATAATTGGACTGATAGTATAAAAAGCTAATCTAGAACATCTGAATAATAATAATAATGTACAATAATATTAATGATATCCGCTAAACGTGTGTGGGCCGCTGTCCAGGCCTAGTAGTCGGCATACCGGGGGGTCGGAGTCCATATAATCCATCACATAACATAACTCAAAAAAAAAATGAACATAACAAAAACATAAAGGTTTAAAATAGGTATCAACTGTCAAACAAAAAGGTTTAATAGCTTCAAGTACGCTACACATCCAAAACTAGGTAGTTCAATCCCAAAATAATATTCTTTTACTAGTAATGTCCCATAAGTAAAAAGTATGTGGTAATAAACTGATCGATAATATTAGTAATTTACTATGAACAAATAACAACATAATCAACAGAATATTAATTCTTTTTTAGGTGACTTCAAATGACAAATACAATTTCAAACAATTAATATAAAATGGACTAAAGTAGTAAAATAACAACAACTCGGATTGGCCTGGTCCACAATATATAAGGTATATTATGCAAGAAAATTATTCCTGTCAAGATTTTTTTGCCCACAATGGCTTCTGACCACCTCCATTTGAGGTGCTTTCGAGTAGAATTTTTTGATGAAATTATGTGGGCATGTTCTACATGAAGTGCAGATTATATCCACCAAATTTAATATTAAAATTCAACTGGGAAGTGAGTTAAAAAAAATTGAAAAACATTGCATTTTTTATACTTCCTTCGTATTTCAAAGTTCTCTACATTAGGTTTGGGCACAACATTTAAGGGGGAAATAATAGGGGTAATGAATAGTGTAGAAAAAGTAGGAGAGAAGGTGGAAAAATATGAAAGAGAAGATAAAATGTAGAAAAAGTAAGGGTAATTGAGTATTTTTAAAGGAAGAAACTTACCAAAAAGGGAAAGTGTAGCAAACTTTTAGATACATCCAAAAAAGGAAAGTGTAGCAAACTTTAAAATACGGAGGGAGTATATACTTTCACGTAGTGTTTTTCAATAATTTATTTAACTAACTTTCCGATTGAATTTCAAGCTCAAATTTGGTGGCATAATCTATATTTCATGAAAAACAAGCTCACAAAATTTTATCAAAAATTCGACTCAGAAGCACCACAAATTAATTAAATTACTCATGCAATGTATAAGAAGTTCAGTTCCTGTCCAGGAAACGGAACTGAACCGATCGAATACTATAGGAACCGAACCAAAAAAAAAATTGAAGTCCAAAATTATAGGAACCGAACCGGAAAATTCGGTTCGGTTCGAGTCGGTTTTCCCGGTTTTACGGT